TTTCTTAATTTCGTAGCTCACATCGACCGGTCGATCTTCGACAGAGCAATAATGCTTCCGAATACTCTTACTTAATCGAAATTGCCTATCATCAAATGTGGACAGCACATTATTAAGCATGGAAATGTCCCCCGAAATACTTTCGCGTTTGTCGAATCCCACGCGATGTTTGACGCCACTACGACGCTATCACCTTTGTTTGTACTGTTTTTACGTTCGATTTCACGCGTAACGCGTGATTCTCGCAGTGAACGGAAAATGGTCTATTATTAATGTCTCCAATACACAGTTTTTTCTAGCGTTCCTTTAGTTTTAGAGGACTATGCATTTATTATCCTTTTTATTCCTATAATACCAGCTTTTTGGGGGTTGAGGACAAGACGCAAGACGATTTTACCCTCCACAATTAAATCTGCAACAAGTTCTCGATACATTTTTTTATTATTTAATAAAAACATTAAATCCGCTAAAATCTTCACAAACTATTTTCATGATTCTGTGATAGAAATAAGATGCACTTTGTATTCCATTTTGTCTCAAGCTATGCCATGCAATGTCATATATAACACCCCTGCTATCTATAAAATATTCAAGGAAATAGTGTTTTTTTACAAAGAAAGCCTCTTATACCTAATGGACACATCATACACACCCAACATGACTAATAAAAAAAAACATATATACATACATGATACATCTCGAATAGCTAATGAGTATATTAATAACCATTCTCCAAACAACGACAGAGTTTGTCATTCGGAGCAAATTAGTGAAACCATGACACAGAAATAGACAAATTGTTTACTTTCAATTTCGAGGTATTACGGTATATTCTTTTTTTCTCTCCTCCAAATACACTATATAATTCATAGTTCAGTATTTTGACCACACAGAATCAAAAGCAAAATGTGATTGTAAAAAAAATGTGAGCATACAAAAGTCTGCCCTTTCAACAGAACGTTTTCAGTGAAACTGTGTGAATGCGATCAGCAAGGTTATTTCGTTGTTGGAACAATTTGAACAAAGTGCAAGAAACTAAACAAAGTTGAGTGAGATCATAAGTATCTGTTTGTTTTTCTTTTTCACAAGTGGCACAGACTCGTTAGATACATTCAGAATACACATGGGAGAGTCACAGTAGTGTAAATCCTCATATGAAATAGTATATGGGGAGAATACACATGGGAGAGTCACAGTAGTGTAAATCCTCATATTATATGATGAGAATACACATGGGAGAGTCACAGTAGTGTAAATCCTCATATATGGTGAGAATACATATGGGAGAGTCACAGTAGTGTAAATCCTCATGACATAGTATATCGTATGATATACTAGTAGTATATGGTGAGAATACACATGGGAGGGTCACAGTAGTGTAAATCCTCATATGATATAGTATATGGTAAGAATGCACATGGGAGAGTCACAGTAGTGTAAATCCTCATCTATAGTACATGTATATGGTGAGAATACACATGGTAGAGTCACAGTAGTGTAAATCCTCATGATATAGTATAGTATAGTATAGTATATGGCGAGAATACATTCACAACAGTATGTTGTCCTTTTATGATATATGGTGAATATATGATATATGGTGAAGTCTGTCTGCAGACTTCAAAAGCACAATTTCTAATAAGACACTTGTATAACTGTGACTCCTTTATATTACTATAACAGTATAAAGTCAGTATACAACATATTAACATTGCTGCATAGCAGCACTTATAAAGTATCTCTTTTATTATTCAAGATTAATGACTTTCACATTACTACAGTTGGTTGAATTTATTGCTTGTTTTAGTTGCCATGAACAAGAAAGTTTAACACAAGAAATATTGTATTGTTTAGATAAATGTCCAGTAGTTTTATAACATACAGACAGCCATAACTATACCAATCGACTTTGTACAGATCAATTCAAGATACTGCAGTGAAAAACATTTTATTATGATGAGTATTACACGTGTATAAATCTGATTAGAATCGTATCTCGCTGGGCTTTTTTACTTTCATGTTTTTATTTTAATTGTTACTTTTTTTGATGTGTGATTATTATTTTATTTCAAATGTTTTCCAAATTTTCATTTTTTTTAGTTGTCTGATTGCGACAGCCCAAAGATCTGAACAACCTCCATTGAAGATCTTGTTCAACTCTTGCAAAATTGAATAACCAATCAGAGAAGGTTTTGTATACAGCTATTGATGGATTTGAAGGTACTGCGCACAAATGCATAATTAATGTATACAAGACCTTCTGTGATTGGACGTCTAACCTAGTTACTGTAGAATATTTTATTTTAGCTGGAATTAATTTTCGCTGAAAAGACATTTTGGGTGTTTTGTATGGAATTTATTTTCACTGATTTTTGACAAGTTGAATGTAAAATATAGGAAAAAAAGCTATATTCGCTGGATTTTATTTTCGCTGAATCATTCCTTCAGCGAAAATAGCGAAAATAAATTCCAAGCGAAAATAAAGTATTCTACAGTATTTGAGATCTCACAAAAAAGATTTTCTATGAAGGTTGGCCAGATCTTTGGGCGTTTGCAGACAGAAAATAAAAAAAACAAATGAACAATTAAAATAAAAAAAAAAAAGATTTTAATCAGATTGCACATGTATGTGCATCCAGTCTGCTATTGATTCAATGTTTCTGCTATTGGTATTACCACATAAGCTGCTGATTCATTTTGGCTTTCCATGAGAGCTTTTTGCAGGCAATGTGTTAAAGACAGAACCAATTATTTATTTTTGAGTGTATAAATATTAACAGGTAGAATTAAAACTACCATCCAAACAACCAACTCATAATCTTCATGATATTCTCAAATTAACTTTTCCAAATATTTTTGTACAATAATAAATTGGGGTAATGATATAAAAAAGTACGGCAGCATAACAAGTAACAAAAAATGCAATAATATATTCTAGTTTTTGTGAAGCACTTTGCATGTTACAGGGGAGAGGTGATATATATCCATCGGTATGAAACTTATAAAAATGGGCTGTTACAAAACTGTACCATTACCAATAATATGATAAACATACAAGCAAAGAAATTCTGTTGATAAGTAATTTTCATTATCTGGAAAATGGCCGCCCACCATGACGACTGCCTCCACCATCATGACGACCATAACCTCCTCTACTTGGCTTAGATGGTGGCAGAAATCTGTAAGGAAAATAAATCGTCTTATTATCTACATTGTCAACAGACTGTTAAATTTTCAAGGACAATTCCTTAACAGAAAAATAAGGAGGTGAATCTGAGATGATATAACTGCAAAAGTTGTTTTCATTTGCACTCACCTTGTATGTGGATCGGTTTTACCACCAGGGCCAACCCATCTGCCACCCCCTGGCATACCACGAAAACCTCTCATTGGCTTTGACCTCGTAGGACTTGGTCCACCTCTTGAGCTTGAACCCCTCATGCCACCTCGTGGGTTACCCCTGGTTGGTGAGCCATATAATCCATCAGCTCTAGTAGGTGGTAGTGGTGGTGGTCTACCATACCCTGGACCACTTGGTCTGTTGTCAGGCCTGTAGGTAAATACAGCAGAGCATTAGTCACAGGTCAGAATAATCTCTGCATAATTCATTAGTATAGAAATACAAATGTACAATATTTTGTTTGAATAATATTGTTATGATGTTAAGGGCACCTATGATTTTTATTGGCCATTGTTGTGAACCTGGAATGCTGTTGTTCCTTGAGTGATTTTAATCATATCAAAGATTTATTTCTGTCGAGGGTACTACTAAAATCAGTCAAATTCTTCTGCAATAACTTTCAGTTCTACAGTATCCATCTGATTGAAATAAGATACATGGAAATGCTCTGCTGATATATAACAACCTGAGTGTATTTGCCTACATAAGTAGTCAGACTGGTCTTACCGTCTTGAGAGAAATCCTCTTGATGTTCTACCTTGGTATCCACCTGGTGATGGTGGTGGTGGTTGTTGTGGTTGTCTATTACCCCAAATATTAGGTCCTCTACCTTGTATATTACCCATACCTGGACCTAGAGAAAGACAGACACATTCAGAAATGTTAAACAACACTTCCTTTACTTGGATGAATACTGCCATATTCTCATCATCACTTGAACATATGTGTTTATTTAAAATAAAAATTGCAATTGTAACGTTGTTACAGAAAACAAAGTACCAAGTGTGTTGTTGTTTTGATATCTAGTTGCTAAATTCAAAGAAAAAGCAAGAAAAATGTAACCACTGGTGTGTTATCATTAGGTGAAATTATAAGTCTCTGTTTTTGGAACACCTCTGAATGGGGATTAATTACTTGCTCTTCAATGTGTATAAAATAAATGTGACTTATTCTTATCACAGAACTAAAATAATAGATTATATTGTAATGACATCAAAACCACAGGCTGTTGTTTTATCCTGTGTCCCTGGCTGTATCTTGGTCGTAAATTTCCATGTTCTATTCAGACAATGGCTGAATAGATGGTTCTTTTGTGTCAGGGGAAACCATAACAGACAAAAGACTCTAGACACAGAAAAATGGAGCAAAGCTGGGCTCATCATTTGTAGCTGTCTAATCCAACTACATGTATGTCCAGCAGGTTAGGGAATCGGCATCACCACCATTAGGTCTTGTAGTAGAAGCGAAAACAACTTTACTACTGCACTTCTGTTGATCACAGTGTGTTTACTACAGTTAGGATGTTGAGTTCAGTTCAGTAGTATACTGAAATGAATCTGCCATTTTGAATCAGAAACATTTTGAAACAGGGTAAAGTTTGATTACAATCAGAGAAATGGCTCAAGCATTCATTAATACAAAGTCATTCAGTCATTTTGAATCTGATGTAATAAAATGATGGTCCCCTTATATTCAACGTATGCACCATATTTGAACAACAGCTGTTCGAGTATGATCCAATTTTGATGCATTTTAACATTAAATTGGCTGACAATTAGCCATCTTGAATCTCATCATCAAACAAATATTAGAACATATGATGAGTATATAAAACATGAACAAAATCAGTCAAGGCAAGTCATTTATTAAAACAAAATGGCCACCAGTCGGCCATTATGAATCCAATTTGAAAAACATACATTAAGGTCTGATAATGTTCAATGTGTGAAACCTAGTTTTTGAATTTGATCAGAAAAACCAAATGATGTGCAGAGATCTGGTTTCGGAATGTATGATGTACATGTATATGTAAAGTTTTAATGTGATTGGCTCTGGCATGTCAGAGATAGAGGTGGGTGGGCGTGCACGCACACACGCACGCACACACACACACACCCACACACACACTCATGCACTAAGATCAATTCATAAGTTCTAATTTGGACGCATTCTGAAAAGGGAGACTTATGGATTATAAATAATTTAAGCATCAACACAAAAAGAAAACAATGAAAACTACACTAGAATATAACATTGGCTACATGCTACTGCTTATGTAAACCTTGGCACAAGATATAGACATATGGAAACAGCAACTTATGCAATCAAAGAGGGTACATCTTTAAATTGTTAAAAACTTAGATACAACTTGTTATATTATATGTTAGTAATCAATTAGGTAACACTGTATGTAATAATTTCAGAATATTCATGCCAGTGAATGGATGAGAAAAATTAAGCTATTCATTAAATAGACACATATGATGACAAAGAGAAATTGTCAAACTGATAGCATAAATACACACAAGAGAAAAGACATCAGGATTATTTTTTTATAATGCAGAGATAACTTTCTGTATTTTTTAATTGAATTGATTCTCTTGTGTGTCAATTTCACATTGCATGTCATCATGACTTGCATACTTATATACTCTCAAAGATAAATGTTTCTCAGGGTATTTCAATCCACTAAAATTATAGTTCAAATTGAAGTTATAAAATTGCCAAAGTGGTTGTAATATCCAATATGCAATGGTTCACTTCTTCAACCTTAAGATCAGTCTGCATACATCTGTAATGGGGCAAGATTTCACAAAGAACAAGTAAGTGCTCAGAAAACAAATTATACTGATGAAGAATGACTAACCGACCTTTAAGACAAATTCAAAAGAAATACAAATGAAAGACATGACCAAGAATCTTTAGATTTAATCAAGTATGAAACAAATTTATGTGCAGATGCGAGTTATTATCAGACGAATTATCTTCAGGTTTGAACAAAACCAATCAATGCATATATGAGAATCTATTGGAGCCTTTTAAGAGCCAGAAAATGGGACTGAAGTAAAATTGGGTTCTGGCTGTCACTGAAAATTACCTTTTCCTTTTTTGCCCACAAGTGACCCTTGCCTAAAATACTCTTTCTCTAAAGAAATATAGTATAGGAGAGCTACATGACTTGCAGCAGTTACTAGTGATAATATGGATATTAAAATATTCTTCCCACATGAGAGTCATTAATCAGATAACAGAGGAATATGATAAAGGGGACTGATAAAAGGAAAATTATGCAATCTGGAAGAGGATAAAATCTATTATACGTGTCTCTCCACCTGAGATGTATCATTAATTAATTCTAATTATTTTAACTAACTTCAGTCAAATGTGAATGAGTTGTCATGGGAACAATATTATAATTATTAAGAAGTAGTTGCAAAAAAAATTTAATAATTTGTTTTCAACATTCTGTAATAATCTGAAAGAAAATTTAATATGTGTAAAACCACTTACTATATGCAATGCTTGTGAGATCCAGTATCACCATTATTTGGAGACATAGGTCACACGAATATCATATAATACCAACTGGGCAATAATTTATTGCAAAGCATTGGAATAATACAGAGTTATCATATTGAGTGGCCCCTAAATTGGATCTCAACTACATGACAGAATATTTGGATCTCTCAGTCATTCCAAAATTTCACCATGATGATAAGAGGGGTACAATGTTAAGGAACACAATTTTTACGTTTCCACAGTAAAAACTGTGAAACTGCTTTGTGAGATTACCATCCTGTGAAACTTAATTAAAACTACATGGATTGGTTCCGATTTGTCAAAATGATTTTATAAATGATCAGAAGTTTTTCCTCTAAGGATTCCAATTGCTCTTTGAAAGTACACAAGTAACTCAGTCATGTGAGAGGTTTCTCTGAGCAGTGTGCAGCAGACAGACTCTGCTAACACAGCAAGACTCTATCAGACTCATTGGAGAGGCCACAAGGATTGATGAACTATTATGGAAGAGTCACTGTCCTCTTCAACTTCTACCCTGTGAATGTGAATACTCTGTAAATTTGTATCATTTGGTCAAGAACTGGGGTTGACCCCTAGAATGGTTAATGATGCCCAGTCATCCATTCATTCCATTTTCTCTGGAATGAATCCATCATTGTATCAGGTTAACTTGAGGTTAATTACTGTTAAAGAAAACATTGATGGAGCCAGTTGCCATGCATATCACACCTTGGTTGCTGATTTTAGTGCTAGATATGAGCCATGGCAGGATGCTGTTTTTTTCGCATAGTTCAGGAAGTCAGTCTGTTTACTTTCCAACCTTCAAAGCCAAATCAGAAATACCAGGCTGCAGGTTACCTCAGAGCATTATTAAGAAGGGACTAATTCACATTTCACTACAATAACATTGCACAACCTAGTCCACGATAAAGTTGGTCATATTTACGTTTTTATAGTCAGACTTTGATACATAGTTTGTTGTCAATGTATTTTTACCTACTTTTTGTAGTTCAGTTTCAGGTAAAACAACTATAGAAATATTAATGTATGTGGTAAGGTGATTGACAACTTTGCACTTTATCTTGAATGTGTCGTTTGAACACTATTTAAATACCGGTAGCCAATATCAGAGCCTTTAAATTCAGTGACAGTTGGATACTATTGATGGATGGAGAAACTTGTACTCATGATATTTTTCACTGTGGAGATACATGTGTTAAGCATGTTACAACGAATGATAAAAATAAAACAAAACAAAATTAAAAAAAATCTTAGAAAGAATATTGGATGCATATTAAAAATCAACCAGAAGCTTGGCAACTCATATTTGTCTGCTATTTCAGATGTACAACATGAAAACAATGTGATCCACAGTATTGAAGTTTATAATACTCACAGAAAATAAATTTGTTTGTACATCATTGGTTTGCAGTTTATTCCAGAGCACCTCTACTACAAATTCAATTTTTTGAGATATCAGCAATTGGCTAATAATAATTAGATGTGTGGTTTTCAACATTAAACTAATCACATCTGTTGATTACCAGGAGCATCTATTTACCAAATTTTTTTGAATCATGATGATTATGCAAATTAGGCTACTGGTATACTTGATTTTCAATCTAAAATTAACCAGTTTTAGCATTGACCCCAGACAATTATATACAATTGTTGAAATGCAGTAATTGGTTTTTGAGTTATAGGTGAAAAATTGGTTAATTCTAAGGCAACGTTTCATTGAAATGGGATGATTGGTGCTTGATATCAGTGGAAAAGCCAAAAATTTACTAATTACAGCAAGTCTCAGAAGTATTGGGACAGCCAATTTGCAAACTCGCTAGCGAATTGGCTAAATGTTTGGGGTTTGACTAAACAGTTGGCTTTCGAATCTCGCTGGCGCCGACTCGTCGTCGCGTCCACTCCGGGCGAGTCTATTTTGCATTAGGGAACATAGTATGCTTTTACGTAGCCTGGTACATGTCTGAATTCCCCCGAATGATTTGCTTTGCGAGGTGTTGTAATGTGAAAGTAGTTTCCCTGGTCATCCTGACAATGGCCACAGTTAGCAGGCGTACAAGTGATAATATGATAAATGCGATTAATCCACCGATATTTACTATATGGGGCCATCTTGAACACTGATTGACACTAAATAAAGAGACAAGTTGGGAAAGTTTCCTATAAATCAGGGAGAAAATAAATGTTCACATCCAAACGATTCGTTGGGATAACATTAAACCAACCGCTAATAAAATTCGACTTCATTCATCGATTTTGCATGGCCAATCCCTTGTATACGAACACCACGAAGAAAATAGAACACTTTCCCTGGTATATTTGAAAGCAAAATCGCCATCCAACTGAAGTATGACGACTGTCCCCTACTGTTATATAGATTCACCCAGAGTGGGCGTGACCACATGACGGCGCCAGCGAGATTCAAAGGTCAACTGTTTAGTCAAAACCCAAGCAGTTAGCCAATTCGCTAGCGAGTTTGCAAATTGTCTGCCCCAATACTTCTGAGACTTGCTGTAAGCAATTTAGGAAATTATTAATATGCACAGATTTTTATAAAAAACAAAACAAATCTGTTTATTAGTACAGAGCATCTATGTAACAAGTTTCATCAAAATCTAATTAGTGGTTCTTTAGATATATCAGTAGAACAGTAATACAGCTAAAAATTATCTAATTATCATGCAAATTAGGTAATTAATATGCACAGATTTTTATTCAAAACTAATCAAATCCATTCAGTAGTACAGAGCATCTATGTACCAAATTTCATCAAAATCTAATTAGTGGTTCTTTAGTCATGGGACAGCTAAAAATCAGCTAATTTTCATGCAAATTAGGTAATTAATATGTTAGGATTTCAACCAAAAGCTAATAAATCTATGCATTAGCCCAGAACATATGGTTCTTCTTAGTTTTTAATCAGCAATTTACTGTCAAGTACTTTATTTTAGCTGGAATTAATTTTCGCTGAAAAGACTTTTTTAGGTGTTTGTATGGAATTTATTTTCACTGATTTTTGACAAGTTGAATATAAAATAGAGGGAAAAAAAAGTATATTCCCTGGATTTTATTTTCACTGAATCATTCCTTTAGTGAAAATTTATTCCAAGCAAAAATAAAGTATTTTACTGTATAAGGAAGCAATTATAAAATTGTACCTTCGCATACACAAGTTCAAAAATTAATACTAAAAATTTAATGAAACAATAATATGTTCTTATATTATCATGTATAGTATATAATAAAACAAACAGCTGACCATTATGACATGGTCATAGCCATATTGTCATTGCATTATAAACTACAGTGAATGCACAGACACGTAGTATCATAACTTCCTGTCAAAGAGCACATATTAGGTTAAAAATAAAATGCAGACATATCCAACAATAAAAACTAACTACATTGTCACCTATTAATTAAAATATACATTAATTCTGTTAACTCTCATTTTAACAGCAAGTAGAAATAGACTATCTTGTATAAAAAAGCAGCTGTCCTATAATATGAAAAGGAAACCGCTGTGACTTCATTTCAAACCATGCATGACGTATCTATTTAATGATTAAAACATTGGAATTGATGAGAATATGTGAATTTGACAAGACATATTACTGTAGATAGTTTGCGAAAGTAAAATATTCTTAAAATGCTCTTATTGTCCATAACACCCCCCCCCCCCAACAAAAATAATAGACTGTGTTCAAATGTAGAAATACTCATGGAAAATAGTTTCATCCACTTACATGATTATATCTGAGTGTTTTACCTGGATTCTAGTTAACTTGTGAAAATAGTTGTATTCAGGAGTGACAGCTGTTGAAATTGAAAATCCAAACAAACATTCCTGGCAATGTTCATTCCTAGAAATACTGCAATGTTGCAAAGTAAATGCTTTTTTTGATCAGTTTATTTTGGTGTCTGTTGTAACCACTGCTCATCCTGTGTTTTCCCACACTTAACTGATTCCAATGAATTTGGTGCACAACTGACTATCTTTTGGCTCAAAACAGCCACATTATTGTAATTTTTTTTCGTCAGGCAATTTTTGGATTTAGGTGTATATCAAAGTATCATAATCAGACTAAATTTTGATGACATTTTTTGAAGGATGTCTGTACAGTGTAGAGTTACCAATCTATTCAAGTTATATATTGTCAATCTTCATATGCTTTTTAATCATTGCCTTAATACATTAAGCAAAAGAAGAGTTCTCTGAATATTTCCTTTATTATTTCAGTGGTTCAAGTAACAAGTTTTGTTTCACACAAATATTAAATTAGCTGTCAAGACATTAGATGGCTATTCTAAAAATAAATTGAGCATCGACAAACAAATTCCACTGGGATACATCGCAAAATAATACACCTATCAGCGATTATTGCTATGAAATATTAATGATATAATGCACATACACATTTAAAAACATACCGGTAATCAGGTTAAAAGAATAGAAAAACCAGCAATAAATCGTCATGTGTAGTGATCCAACCTAATCTTAATGTTGAATTTCATAAATACAATAAGACTCCGCACATTACTTTGTAAAAAAATATTTGCAATATTAATGCATGTTTCATAAATTATTTGTTCATTGTCACAGTTGACAAACTTCATAAAAACTGCCAAGCACAATGAGTGAGATAATTTATACAAACTGAGGAGCATTTACGCAAAGTTTATTTTGATTAAATTAACGATTTTGATATTTGAGTCATTTTGAGTTAGTTAAAACTGAGAAAGTATGAATGTTTTTATTATTTTCAGTTTTAATATCTACCAATTGACAGATCCCAGCATAATTTTTGCAATATGCAGAAATGTAACATGCCAATATTTACCAGGTGTAAGACCCACTATATACATCAACAAGCAAATCACAAGGGGGGATAACTAAATGCTGAAGCAAATTAAAAAGAAAACACATTCGATTTTGATAATAAACTTCAAAAGGCTAATTTATTAATTATCTAAAATATATAAAAATCACACAAAAAATAGTATGTTGGACTCATTTTCCCATGTTCTCATGTTGCTTACGTAAGATAGATAGGATACAGTGTTATAAGTGTGGCCAGAATGAGTTAATTGTTCAATAATACACTTTCAATATTTTGTTTATGCTATTCATAATAATAATCAAATTTCCCATATATACTGTACATGTATTATTACAATTCATTCACAAGATCCAGTAAAATAGCGTAACCAACATAAGGGAATTAATGAAATCAGGAATCAAGTTAGATTAGATCAAGATAACATCTACTTCCCTGGATATTTCAAGTTAGCATTTCTCTATACTTTCACTTAAAGCATAAATCAAACGTGTCACTGTGCTTTTAGTGCAGTAAAACTGATAGCAAATATAATTCAACGATGTTTTTGAACGGAATTCACCAACAATTGCAGCTTCCTGCAACAATTTGTCAGTGAAAGTACAAAACATGATACTTTTAATTGAACAGTATAAGAAGAATAACAACATCCCTGATGTAAGTGCCAACACATTCTTATGATGATCTATATAGAAAGGACTTACCTAGATCTCGCCTATTGTAACCCCCTGATGGTCCACCAGCCCATCTACCGCCAGGTCCTCCAATGAAACCACCTCTTTGATAGCCCGGCCCACCGATAAATCCACCACGACCAAGATTACGAGCAGGAGGACCCTAGGACATAAAATGAAATGTGATTGATAGAATCCCTTTTACAAAGATAACACACACCAAGGTGAAACCATTACATGGTATGTTATACATGACTGCAAATACTAACTTAAACAAGATGGATGGGAATACTTAACGTGCTGCAGGTGGAGACAAGTATTTAATCCTCTCATATATTACACTTGACTAAGGGGGATTACCTCTAGCCACTTTGCAATGAAGCTACTTAGGTGACCTAAGAACTGACACAAATGATTTTGATGAACTTGATAATGGTTAAGATTTGTGTAACCCATATGGCATGTTTTCTAGATTACTGTATACTTGGAATTTATTTTCACTATGTTCGCTGAAGGAATAATTCAATGAAAATAAAATCCAGTGAATGTACTTTTTTTCCTACATTTTACATTCAACTTGTGAAAACCGGTGAAAATAAATTCCGTACAAAACATTCAAAAAGCCTTTTCAGCAAAAATCGATTCCACTAAAATTAAGTATTTTACAGTAGTCACATGTGATTAGTAAATGAGGAGGGAGGCGGAGGATTTAATGTAAAGAGTTTATAAATGTCATGATTTAAGCACTCAAGTGTCAATTGGAGAGGCAGGGATGATATCAATTAGCATTCCCTATCAGTATTGGTTGGATTCATATCAGCAAAATTAATCAACCCACAGGGGAAATAATTATAATGTAGGTTTAGTAGTTTTAATATACATGTCACTCCACATAGGACATAATTAAATATTTACCACCAAGGGAGTACGATGATACTATTTATACACTGATTATCTAGTACACTTATGAAGGCAGTAACATGCATATATAGTTTTCAAACTATTTGGCTGTGAAAGTAGAAAGATGTGGTTTGGATTCATTTTTTTTCAGTTCAAGAAAAAGATAAAGCATTACTGGTCCAAGATTAGACACCAGTCAATCTGTCATAGGCAGACATAATACTGCATTTTAATACTGAAATATATATATTAGTCATACTGGGTCTAATCACAAAACTTGTAAGCATTATTAACATTGATCAGGGTGGTTCCTAGCTATGGTCAACAATTATAAATATTTAATGAAATAATGACTATATATGACAACTACACAATTACAGCACTACTTGCATGTCTCTATCTGCAACAAAATTTGCTAAATTATTATGCACTTTAGGTGATAAATATGCACTGGACTTCAACCAAAAAATAATCAGGTCTGCGCAATATACCAGGGCATCTATGTACCAGGTTTTATTAAATTCTGTTGAATACTACATGAGAAACAAGTGAAAATGCAAATTAGTAATTAATATGGATGTATATGAACCAAAAACTTTAGATTATATTATATCGTTGCAATGTTTTTGAAGCATTTATGTACCAAGATTCATTGAATAAGTAAGTACCTGAGAAATTGAATGAAAGCTGAAACTGAATTATTATGCA